GAGATGGTAAAAGCACGAATTTTAATATGAGAAATAAGGCTAGGGCAAAGGTAGTTTATGAAGTGCACCTTTTATAGTCTAGTCCCAGCATTTTGTCCTACGGTAACGGTGATAATAAGGGGTTTTGGGGGTGGGTAAATAGAATAGACAGTGAAGGAAATTTGTAGAAATAAGTGGGAAGTGGCAAATTCAGTTGAAGTTTTTTCCCGCGACCGCTGAAAGTAAGTTGTTACGCATGTAAATTGAAGGTGTGCGCGGCGCTTCGCGCAGCGGACTATACTAATTCTTAAGTAAGTTAGACCTCGGATAAATTAAAATAGATGGCCTCCTAATCATCATTTCTATTATCTTCGGGAGTTTCAGAAACCTGCATTTTGATAATCGGGTTTTGCGCAATACGTTAACGAATATACAGATTAAAAAAGGCTAGAGATATAAAACAACAAAATTTGCAAAAGCAATAAATTAAAAATGCATATTGCAGTTGTTAAAGTATTTTTTACTACCTATCCTAATTCTCCGCCAATAGAACCTCTATAACTCCCGTTTCCACAGTACAAAATGCTGAACCTATGGGGTATATGAGGTGCACTACTCAAACTACTGTTGTCAAAGCTAGTTCTTCGGAACCAAGCTTTGTTGAAATGCTGACGTAATCGGGCAGAACAGGAGGTGGCAAGTTTGTCGATCTCGGGTCGATATATTGTTTTTCTGCCTTGGCACTTTAACAGATGTTTGGCGAGCATTCTAGCTGCGTGCATTCTAAGTAATTCCTCCCGATGGGGGAGGGCGGTAAATCGTTTAGCCCCCGTCGGCGTTGTTCAGTTCGGCAGCTCTATCGTTTTATGTAATGAATTTTTCTGCGAATTAATTCCTTGAACCCCTACAAAACTTGAAGTTAGAGTCAGGCGAATCTACGGTATCCTTCACTGCCGTTTTACTCTCCATTCCGCAGCATCTACTCATTGAAATTTTGAAGCAACCACTGGTTGAACCTTATGACTAGAAGCAAGCCTCTCAATTCCGAAAATATATTCGAGCTTCCAAAATAGCTACTTCATG